TTTGCCAGAAAGGTAATGGAAGAAGATACAGTTTTAATTTTTTAAATGATCCTCTTATAACAGCTACCAGTTTCAATGAGATACATTATAAATTAATCATTTGAGGCATATATCTCACCAGAATTGTCACAGCGATAAAATTCTGCTTTAAAGAATATGCCCTGAGAAAACATGGGATAGGGCCCTGTCAGTCTTCCTGAGTAATAACTTTTCCATCAGCAGTCAATTATTAGGTTATTATTTGTGACAAGAATTGGTGATTGGCCACAGACTAGAGAGCTGAGTGACTTTGCCCAGGAGAAATTGCAGTCTCAGAGGTCAGCAAATTACGTTCATTTTTCCCTGCCCTGGGCTATCAGCCTTCATATTTTCCCATCTTTCCCTGGGGAGTCAGGAGCAATGTTGATTGCAGGTACCAATTCCTTGCACTTCCCATGGAAATAAATCATCCCTTCCAACATGGATGGTGGAGGCCTAATTATCTGCTACTCAGTTAAAGACACTCGCTCAAAGAAAGCCAGGGTGTCACCACAAGAAAAGCAACTGCACTGTGTTGTATTTATATCTGCCTTAGTCTTCCCAGTTGTATACTCAACTTTTTTGCAACTTCTTACTGCAAATACTGTTATGCATTTTAGTCGAAGGCTTTTATCCTTTTTTCTTCTGACAACACCCATTTTTGTACAGCCACAAGTCACACAACACAGGTATGAAACACAAAAGACTTAATTAAAATTTTTTTCAGACTCTCCAGTGAACCCAACTGTCCACTTCTAAGATACTTCTTACCCTGTTTACATTTCAGCCTTAATGAGTTAAGTATAAAAAGTTCCTAAACATTGTATTGCATACATTTATTATGGCAGGAATGAACTTATCAGTCCTGGACATAGACATTACATTGACTCACTGATACACCAGTGATCATAGAGTTTTGTCACACCCGGAAAGGATCTGCAAGTTCTCTCCAATTGTATTAAATACACTTAATGAATAAAAAAGTTACAGGTCAGCATGAACTCACATATACATCTCTTTTCAAAAGGGAGTAACTGTGGTATAAACTTTATACCCCCTCTGGGCCATGGAAGGTTATTGTATCATTTTCAATGGAATACAAATTTCACTTGTTTAAACCTTTACGAAAAAGAATTACTTGTCTGAGATATAATGTCAATGTCTGTGAGTAACCTTCTGACAATGCCAAATTCCAGGACAAATCTATCTTTTTTGCTACCTGAATCACTGGTGGTGGCAAGCCACATTTTAAACAAACCTTGCATGAGGGCTTTAAGAATAAGAACCACAAGCAATAAATTAAACAAATGCAGAGAGATGATCCCCAGGGTAATCCTGGCATACCACAGGCTTTCAGTGCTTTGGAAGGGGTAGAAGGTTATCAAAAGAAAGGCAAGTCCAGCTTACTATCATATTAGAATATAATGCTAAGAGCTTTCTTTTAGAATAAATTATATATATGTACAAAGTCTATAGGAAATAAAGAGGTGAGAGAAAAACTTAAAGAGATAACAGCATGCAAATGCGTTGGGTTGTGTGATTTTTCTTTTACTTCATACAGATGTTTATGAGGACTGCCAACTATATGTTGAACACTTTGAGCTCCCTGGAAAAGTAGCATTCATGTGTTGAAAAGAAAGATTTAAACTACTAGTGGCAAACATCCTATTAAATTCAGTGAGGCTACGACTGCATCTCAGTATTACAGCAAAATCAAACACACTGAAGCTAAGGGAAAGCACCTTTTTCTTCAGTTTACATGTAGAGCTGATTCTGACAGTCACTCAGTTTTACCAATCAGGAATTATCAATCAAGTAAAGTCAAATTTAAATTAAAAAAAAAAAAAATCCCAAACAACGAAAAACCGTCAAATGTACAAATCTAGGCTTATACATACAAAACTGAAGATTTTGATATGCAGAATAAGTCAGAGTCACAGTGCTTGTTGTAAACACATTTCTTTATATAAAAGGCAAGCAAATAATACCTATTAATTCTCAGTTAATTGAATTAAAGGCATGAATGAAGACTAAAACACTAGATCCTTTATTAGTAAGAAATGACAGGAAAAAAAAAAAGGTTTTGGCTTTTTTCTTCTTTGAATAAAAACAATTTTGATAAACCAAAGCAGAAAGATAGATTTTTCCTTGTGGAAACAAAGTGATAGTTGCAGGCTGTACTAGAAAGAAAGCTTTGCTGATTTACTTTTGTTTTAGTTATACAGACCCCAGTACTGGCTGACTTCCACAGTACTCTACGACTACAGATTGTGCAAGCTACACATACTATACTGTACATACAGTATTCTGTATTCAAGGACTATGCTTAATTTATAAACTTACATTAAAAAAACTGTCAGCTTCAGTAAGTACTATCTTCTCTCAAATAGGTTCCAATACTTTTAAAGTGAAGTTACTATAGAAATATCCAATTATTCATGGCATTCAGGCTGACAGACCATAAGCTTAAGCCTTTATATTGAATTCATATTCTACATAGCTAATAGTGTTATTCATATATAGTCCCATCAGAGATTTCGGTAATGCATCAGTAAACTTAATTTCTAACTGTGGATTGGGATTGCTTTTATTAATTTTTCTCCTCCAAGTATGAAATGCAAATCACGAAAAGTAGAATTTGCATCTTGACTTACATATTATCTCTGCTTTGCACCTTAGGAAACTGCCAGATATTAAGTTACAGTTAAAGCTTTACCAATACCATCACAGTTTCCTGGAATCAGAGTAATTTTATTTTACTTCCTGACTCAATCATGTTTTGAACTATAAGAAGCATGCTTTGTCACACTTCAAAAATGTGCAAATTGCAACCCACAGGTTAACTGCTATCTGCTTTAAGTAACATCTGTCTGCCTAAAGAAGCATTTCTTTTCATTGGGTAGTTCAGATTTGAAAAACAACCTGCTAGAGAGCTGGAAAAACCCAAATATTGGCAGTTCATTGACCAACTAATTATTCTGAATTTCTGCTTTACCTAAAGGACATCTTTATCTCAGCAAATAATTAAACAGTTCATTCAGCAAACCCTGTTTCACAAATCCTAGTTCAGTTCTTTCCTGAGAACTAAGCTAAATATTATCCAGGGCATGCTTCCAGGTGTCATTAAAAATGAAAAATTAGCGCTTGCATAAATTGTCACAGTAATAGTAGTTGTCTATATAGATAAATGCAAATCAATTCCTTCTCCTAACACTGCATTCACACACAAAGCATGAGAAAGCCAGTACTACTTTTGCTCTAATTTCTATGTTAAACAGATTTTTATTTGCATTCTTCTCAGTGTTCTTGGGCACATCTAATATATTTTCATTCCAAAGGAGTAGATTATTTCTACACAACTAGCCTCAACATCCATAAACCTAAAGTATTCATGGAAATGGAATCCTTTGTTTTTTCATGACTCAGTATCTACTTTAGATGGTTTTAACTCTAAGCATAAGCAGTACTTTCTTACCACACTCCAAAATCTTGGGAGAAATACATAAAGATTAAGAAATATTTCCTATTATGTGATAACAAAGACTGTGTTGAAAACCACTGTATTTTCAAAAAAAAAGATCTGAAAGACAAAAAGAAAATAAAAACTTAGATGCTCTCCTTCAGTAAAGAGGCTTTTTTTTTTTTTTTTCTGATTTAGGATCTTGTATCAATTGACTTAAGATGCAGCAATATAAAGGCAGCATTAGGCTCTTAATGTTTGGTTTGTAATTGCTCTTTCACTGCCTGGCAAACATGAAAGAAGCACTAATGTTGTCAGCAAAACTAACAAATGAAAAATAATTCTAAATAAGCTTTAATTTGTCAAAGCAAGAACAGTGGGATATAATTTTATGTGATAGCATAGTCTTTATGAGCAAAGAACCAAATCTTTCTGCAGGTCTGCGCAGGAAAGCTCAGAAATAAGTATTCATTAGTGCACTTGCAAATGTGATCACAATCTGTCATTTGATCCTCCTGTCAAACAGAAAGCATGACATGCATTCAAGGGCTGTACATCTCCCATGTTTGTGGTGGAGCATATCCATAGGTGAAGGCATTTAGAGGTTAACTTCCTGCCCAACTCCCCGCTGCCCTAGCAGGCTGGGTGGTTTGCTTGAATTAGTAATTTTTTGCTAAGAAGTAACATAATACTGTAAAACTTTAGCAAAATGGTAATTATTACAGTTTGGTTTTTTTTAATGCTACAGATATCCAGGGAGATCTAATATCTTTTATTAAGTACTATAAGTTCTGCTCTCCTTGTGTTTAATAGTGAATTCTTTTTTCTCCCCAGTGATCTTATTTTCAAAAGAAATCTATTCTGGTCTACTAAAAATTGCATTGTGAATTAATTTCCACTGAAATTACAAAGACAGAATCACAGGATAGTGAGGTTGGAAGGGAAGTCTGGAGATTGCCCAGCCCAACCTCTCTCCTCAACCAGAGCAGGATGGGTTTTGAATGTTGCCAAAGATGGAGAGTCCACAACCTCTCTAGACAAAGTGTTCCTGTGTTTGACCCACCATGATAAAAGACACTCATAATAACACTACTTTCAGTGACACAACTTAGCTGAAGCTGTCCATCTTAGTTTGACACTAGCTATAAATACGTCCTTCTCTGCCTGCAGTGTTATATGGTAGCCTAAAGAGCATTCGTTCAGTAGGCTTCAGTCGATTTGCTTAAAGTTATCCAAGACAATTAAAGAAAATAATTTTACTGTTGTCACTTTAGAAGTGCATTAAAATCAGTCAGTCATTTGGCTTGACAATTTAATCATTCACATCTATTCAAAGTTGGGTAAAATGACTGTAAATGACTATGCAGAACACAACACAACCGTACTTGGTCTTGAAACTTGAAACTGCATGAGAAAACACTCAAAAAACCAAAACCACAAACCCTCTGACATCTGCATATGTGTATATATATATATATATATATATATATATTTATGTATAATATATTTGAAAACTGCTTACTTTTCCTTGGCTGACAGTTCTGTCTGGTGAGAAGCCATCTTAGATCCTGTCCTATCAGGCTTAGCTGTCCTTTGTCTTTGCTTTCTTCTTGGAGCAGTATCAATGACATCTGGGCTACCCAGAAGGGAATCCCTTCGTTCTGGCACTACCAAAACGAAAGAGATGAAAGTTGATAAGAACTTAAATATGAAGTATAACAACATATTCTTAAAACATTTTCTGTTCATTTTTATTAAAATCTCTATACTGCTAAGATGAACTCTGATTTGACAGCAGTTGGTGTCAAACCCAACAGATGTCATAAAGGGAAATTCAAAAAGACAAAATTTAAACTAGAAAGGTAAGTTCCCCTCAACACCTCTTTGTAGTCTGTGGAGAGAATGATGGGCAGTTATAAACCAGAAATATACTGCTGGTTTCAGGACAACCAGATCCTTCCCTAAGCTAAACCCCTCCCTTCCCTTGCTATTAATGCACTCAGGAGATATGTAGACATTTTTATTCCCGCTATCAATATCCTCTAGCATGTTTCTATCTGGTATGCCTGCTTTAAAAAAAAAAAAATTAATTACATTAAATTTTAAAGATAATGATAAAGAACAGCACTCATTTCAACTGAAAAATATTAAATAATAATGTAGTGACTGAGGCTGATGCTATTATGGTAACTTCCTGATTATTACTTTCTGTGTGTCTTAGGAAGGTTTAATCTTCACATGGATGAAAGACACCATAATTTGAGATTCAATATTAAAGGTTTTCACAGAAAGCAAATAATGGGTCTTATTTCATCATTCCTTTCACAGTTATCTATGCTACTGAAAATAAAACAGGAAGAAAATATGCAACCCACAAGTCACATTTTCACTGTTTCTCAAAAAGACCCCACATTTCTGACCAAGAACACTCTTAAATTAAACAGAGGCTATAAAATTAAATAAATAGGCTATAAATATTAAATATGTAAATAGAGGGTCCCTAGAGCAAGTGCAACTACTGCTTACAGTGAAGCATGTGCTTAATATAAAAGTCTCTTAGCTTTTACCAGTGTGCACTACACCATTGCAGATATACAGATCTGTGTAGGGTGACTTTGCCAGGTATTAGCTGACATATTTCCATGGCACAAGCTAATTAACAGATTTCAAAGCACAGTATAGACAAGATACATTGCCTGTAGTAAATGCTGAGAACAGTTAAATCACAGCCCAAGTCGCCACACCAAACTTTAACTAGCTATGCATACTCTTCCAGTGCTAAATCTTGAAAATGTGTTCATGATTGTTAGTTTCTATTTACTGGTAGCATGTTATATATCTAACATTTACACTAATATTATTTTATATATTCCAGCATCACTACCTAACGTCGGCCCTCTTGATATGCATTAATCAATACATATAAAATAGTTCACTGTCAAACCTTTAATAATTTTACTACCATAGTTTTAATCTTTCTTGTTGCTGTTCTCCTCCCACACTCTGCTTTTGCCAAAAAGCAGAACCAGAAGCTGCTGTATACATAAACCCTACAACATGCTGCTGTTAAATAATGTCTCTGTGCTTCTGCTTGTGTAATATGCAACAGTGCTCATGGCCCTTGCTCTCAGCCTTGCTTACTGTTTAGATGCACATCCCGTTTGCCATCTACAACAGTCTCACTGGTGGCACACGGAGACTGGTGGTAGAGGAAGAAAAATGGAAACGTTCATCTTTCCATTACACTGCAGTTGTGCTAACTTCAGGCTGGGAAAGGGTGTCAGTTTTCTATTAAACATCTCAATCTAATCTTTCCCATGAAAACAAATGTTGCTCTTATGACTTATTAAAACTGAGTAGAATAAAAAATATTGACCTAAATGATTAAATAAACCTGTGCAATAAGGTTGTGAGAATGTTTCTTTTAATAATACCAAGAAGAAGGCTTCTTATTTGGACAGCCTAGGATACACCGTCTTGAATAGTAGTTGACTAGCTCGTAAATAATGATTGATCACCACAGGCTTGGGGTTTTTTCATTTTGTTTCATATAATCATAGAATCGCAGACTGATTTGGGTCAGAAGGGACCTTAAAGTTCATCCAGTTCCAACCACCGGCCATGGGCAGGGACACCTTCCACTAGACCAGGTTACTCAAAGCTCCATCCAACCTGTTTCTTTCTTTTAAGCCAAACTACCTCTTAGGTTAGAACTACTAATGAAAAGATGGCATACACTAGTAGGTCAAGTATCATGCATCACCGTTAAGACTTTAAACTACCACTCACTAATGCTGCCCAAAAATAACTCCTATTAACGAATTCATTTACAGTACTTGACAAAAAGCCAAAGAAAGCGTCAGCAAAATAGTATTCGTTGCTTGACATAAAATCATTTGGAAAAAACAAAGACAGTCTTGAACATACACCTAGTTTTTAATTTTGTCTGAGTTTCATCACCATTTTAAAGATGCAAAGTTCCGTGACTTCCCATGAAATTGAATTTCTTACTTTCGTATTATGCAATACAATACGAATTCTTGTTATACCTTTGTGAAGAATAGTACCAATTTAAATTGAGACAAGAGTACAGTTTGATGAAAGTCAATTGATTATACCACCTATGCCAACAATGTTGATCAAGAAATGGAAATGTTCTAAATATATAATGTATCATCTGCAGATGAATAACTGCAAGAAACAAGATTGATAAGGGCAAGACAGAGATTCACAATTCAAGTACTTAAAGAGTATTTGTGCTAAGATCAAAGACTAATGCTACTAATGAAACATCATGATCTCTGAAAACTACAGACATTTAAAGATCAAGTTCTGTATCTTGGCTAAAGATAGGCAGTCCAGTTATATTTTAAAATAGACTTCTTCATTATTTCATTTTTATATAAAGACAGCAATTAATATAAAAGAAATACCTACAATCTATCATGTTCACTTTTCAGTCTGACAAAAACACCACCTTCGTTCTCTGTAGATCATCACCTGTAATGAAAATTCTTTGACTTTTCTAATTATTAATGACAGTGCTGTACTCACTGATAAAACAGAACCCAGCTTCTCTCTGTTCTCAGAAAGGACTAAACCCACTACTAAAAGTTCATCCTTGCCCTAAAAAAAAGTATGCAAGGAGCAAAGCAAGCAGAAAATGAATGGAAGCATTCAACATGTCAGCAATCTGTTTGCCTACAATGACCAAACTTCACAATGTCTGAATTTGTGAAGGGTGTACTGCAAGCAGGAAAAAAGTAGTAGTTTATGAGAAACACAGTCACAAACATAACTTCACTTCTGTTCACCTTATTAGTATATATTTAAGATGCAACAAAGGATCCCCAAACTTGAACATTTGTATTTAATTCATTCCTATCATCCAAAATACCTGGTAGACCTGCTACTCTTGCTTAACTACACTGTCCTGTGTAAGTCCATATGAAAACCATGTACTGTAATAGCATTTTGCAAATGATTTATTGCTGACTTTTAACGTAACACAGGTGAAAACAGAAGGTGAATCTTGCTATTTCTAGTTAAAAGACTACATCAGTGTTCCTATTTCCTTATATTTCTATCTTCAAGTGTATCACATGGGTTTTGTTATCTTAAATACTGATCATTTTTTTCCCTTGATGAAGTTTTTTTTTTCTCTCTCAATGTTTGTATTCCTCAGGATGCTAAATTACATTAGAATGGCAAATGTCCTTTGCAAATACAGTCTTACAGCCACAGATCCTATGGGATCAGTCCCTGTTTGTGTTATAGCACAGGACTGATTCTAGGTTAACCAGTCACTTCAGAAAAGGAAATGTTGCAAAAGGTAAATGTTTGAACACTGTGTTCAGTGTTTTATCAGTTTTATCAGGACTTAAGAGGATAATTTTAAAACCATTCATCAATGTTAAATGGATTCAAGAAATGTTCACATCTCTGGCAGGTACCACCAAATCAAACATTTAGCACTGCAAACTTGGTTTGCTCAAAATAAAGACTTTGCAGTTTTATATAAGTTTTGTTTTTTTTTTTTAATTGGAATGGAACAGGAAATATTCATAAAGGACACAGGTATTTTATCCTCAAGAAAGGGACTGGCCTTTAATTAAAGTTATGTCCTACCCCAGAGATTTTATCAACAGCAGCACACAAATCTGTCAATTTTAATTTCTGTTCTGCATGGAAATTTACCTGATTCCTTTTTCTACACAGTAGTAAGGACTTACGAAAATTTGTCCAGATTTTCAGATATTAATGCTATCATAGGTCCCCTAAATTTGTGTCAGAGCTGTGCAGTTAATGGAACAGAATTTCCTAGTTGAATTCTGCCTAACTCCATGCAGCATGTGTGGCTCCACAGTTACTCAACTGAACTTCCAAGTTCTGCTGTCTCTCTTTGATGAAGCAGATGACTTAACTTAAAATCGGTCCCCTGCTTAAGGATCCTGCAATTTTTTCTAGGGTGGTTTCCTTAAGAAAAAAACAGGCTGCATACACAATTACTGTCTCTCCTGCTTCTGCCCTTGCACGACAGTGGTAGCAGATAAACCTAGAATGAAAGATGACAAAGCGGTCACAAAACCATCCCCTACAGAACACCAGGGCTGCCTGTGACAGCTGCTCCCCAAGCCATGAAAGAAAAAAGAATAAAATAAGAAAGAAAGCAGAACTCATCACTTTAATCCTTGACTACAGTGTAACTTTAGTAATTAAAAGGTTTCTCAATCTCAGCGTAATTCCTAAGGGATCACCATAGCTGATAATAATTAGCATCTCTTTGACATTCTCAGCAGAGAGTCTCCTAAATGAATAGGTATGGAAATGAATGTGTCTCACTAATGTAGGCAATCCTGCAAAGTAGGATTAAGTCATTCTTGACAGGCAATTTAGGAAACAACACTTCTATCTATGCTGAAGTTACCCTGCACATACACACATTCCGGCCATAATCAGGTAATTTTTCGTAAGAAATAGATCTATCTAGTTCACTCAGAGATCCAAATTAAATATCAGTATTTGCACTTCATGCATGTCCTTTAGTGAAAGTAACAGGAATATGCCACTATTTTAATTTTAGGAAAACAGTAAGAACCATTCTCCATTTCCTCTGTTCTGCTCTATTTATTTCACTCTTTGTATAAATTTGGGTTTACTGGACCAT